CCCGGGCAACAGAGCAAGACTCTATCTCAAAAAAAAAAAAAAAAAAGAAAAAAAAAGCTTAGAAAAATAAAATAAAATATTGTGATAAAGGTAGAATAGAGAAATCAGTAGCACAGAAATTAATCTCAGGAATGGACCCCAGAACTTAAGCTTTCAGCTAAATTCAAAAGTCTTTTTAACTTAGTAGAAAAGAAGTATATTATTCAATAAACATGTAGGGACAATTGCTTCACAATTGAAAAAAATGATGAAATTCTCACTTCACATGATAAATCAAAATAAATTGCAGATTTGTTAAAATATTAAATGCATAAAATGAAAATAAAAAACAAAAATCAAAGCAAAGCCATCAATATATGTAGGAGAAAACAGAAGTGAATATTTACCTAATCTTTTATGAGGAAGATTTCCTAAATGTGCAAGCAAGGGTAGAAATTTTAAAGAAAACATTTTAGAAATTGACAATTTAAAAACGAAAATGTCAGGTCTTTCTCCACTTGTGGAGACTGACCTGTTCCTCTCTGGAACATACTCTCACTTTGTATAGCTCCCTTCTTTTCTACAATAAAAGTTGTTAGTGTGGGGAAAAAAAACAAAAAGAAAAGAAAAGAAAAAGTCAATAACAAAATATGATAAAGATTAGCTTAGAAAGATACTTCTAAAATATATGACACAGTGTTACTATCCTCAATATATAAAGAACTCTCTTTATATAAAATTTAAAAAATAGAAACATCCCAACAGAGAAAATGGAAGATTATAGGAATAAGTAAGCTACAAATGGTAAATAAACATATGAAATATATTAAAATTTTCAAGTAAACAAAGTAACAAAAAGTAACAGAATAAATTTTTCAAACATCAAATTAGAGGAGATTTAAAAATCTGATAACATTTAGTGTTGGTGAAGATATGGATAAATGAACACTCTCATATACTTCCATTTGGAAGACACTTTAGCCTATGTATCAAAACTTGTAAAAAAAACCTTTTTTTTCTTTTTAGACAGGTTCTTGCTATGTGGCCCAGACTGGACTACAACTCCTGAGCTCAAGAGATCCTCCTGCCTCAGCCTCCCAAATAGCTGGGACTACAGGCAGGAACCACTATGCCTGGTTAAATTTCTAAAAAGCTTTTCGGCTCTGAAATTCCCTTTCTGGAAATTTATCTAGAGGAAATAATTTAGATGTATGCAAATATTTGTCTGTCGAGATGTTTGCCTAGCATTGTTTAAAATGTAGAAAAATTAGAAA